GGAGGCATTCAACTCTACCGAATGAGGCAGGGAATAGACCAATTTATTATGCAATAACTCATATAAAGATCACCTTAGCGATGACAGTGTAGATAATTCCTAAGTTGTTGCCAACTATTTCAGCTTTTATTAAGAATTAAATATAAATGAGCATAGAATTGATAAAAAAAAATTTGGAGTTGAATTTGATGTTACATGATACTTTTATGCAATTTCTATATTTAATATTGTTTTGCTTTTATAATATTTGTATTTTAATTCCATTTCATCCGATTTATTATTTGTCACTTTAGATCTTGTGCAATTTTTTATTTCATATTTATATCAATTTATTAATTCATAATTCAATAGAAAGTTAATATGTCATCATTTAACATACTATTTATGTATTATATAAAAAATCACTTTTGACATTTATTATTGTTGACCATCATGCTATACCCAAAGGAACAAAAAGGTAGGAGCAAAAATGAACAGCGTACAAACCTCGTACCCGATGGATCCACGAAGTCGTGCCGAAATCCCGCTGCAAACGGCGCCGCTCCAGTCGGTTCTCCGTGATTTCTGCTCAAACTCCGCTCGAGAAGACTTATTCGCGTCGTTAAATACCGAATACCGACCCAAACGAAGTCGATCGCTGCTCTCCCACTCTACACAATCACAAGCCTCTCCCGATACCTCTTCCATTCGTTCCCGTCGCTGCTCTCCCGCTAAGACACCGACGCCTCCACACTCTCCAACCTCTCTTCCATGCTCGACTCCACTCCCCGTGAGATTTCCCCTCTACCTCCACCACCTGAGCCACGTCCGACTCCTCCCAGGCCAAACTCCTGCTGTATCGACACTTCCTCTCCATCCCGTCGAGCTTCCTCCTCTGCATATACCGATCCCAAGCCGAGAGAGAGAGAGAGAGAGAGAGAGAGAGAGAGAGAGAGAGAGGGGCTCTCTTACCTAGCCGTGACCCTCCCTCCTGTCGGATCCAGCTCCCACGACTAGAGCCGCCCGACCTCCTCCCATCCGTTCCCAAATCGAGCCCCCTGTGTTGTCCGACCCCGCTCTTGTCCGACTTCCTTGCCATCTGATCGGAAGTTACGACATTTTAATCAGAAGCAATAATGGGGAGCTCTCACCGGCTGTAAAGGTAGCTTTCTCCCTTTAGCTCGCTCCTTCGGCCAAATCCCGTGAAATGGCCTAACCGAGAGTGAGAGGGAGAGAAATTTTACAATCATAATTATTATTTTTTTAATTATAATTAATGTATTATGATTAATTATAATTAATTATAATTAAATTAATTATAATTAATTTTATTAATTATAATTAATTTTAATTAGAATATATAATAATTAATTATAATTCATAATAATTAATCATTATTAATTAATATTTATTAA